TGGCATTCTGCATTCTCTTAATTCATGAAAGATGGGAGAGGACCTAGGCCATTGTGGGTCATGCCATCCCTGGGATGGTGGTTTGGATTCTCTAAGAAAGCAGGCTGAGTGAGCCATGGGGAAGCAAGCCTGTAACACACACACACACACACACACACACACGCACACACACCATGGCTGTTGGGAACATGAAGATCCTGGCACCCACTGATTTCCAGGGAACCCAGGAATGTTAAGAACCCAGGGTTGTTCATTCAAAGCGAAGGATGTTTTTCCAGAAAGCCAGGAACTGGAAGTGATTAATAGCCTGGTGATCTGCATTATCTGTTGGGCCATACACAGCTCCTACAACCGGGACAGGAAGATGGCCAGCAATCTAAATATGACTCTTATAGTCGGGGGCTCCCCAAGCTCCCACAACCGGGACTGGAGATAACAAATAGTCTAAGTGACCCTTACACTATCTGTATAGCCAGAGGTTCCCTCAAGCTCCACAACCAGGACCAGAGGTGGCTAATAGCCCAAATGACCTCTACACTATCTGTATGACCAAGACCAGGCCTCCTTAGGCCTTTAAGCTAGTACATGTATCTCTAGAACCCATATTCTTGAAAAATATGGCATGTACCCTGAATCGGGTGTCTATGTAACAATGCTTCTTTGTGTACCAGAAACTGTACTACACTAGGAAACCTTTTTTTCCAGATTATACTGTGTCTAAATTAGTTGGGAATAAACTGCCAAAAGTTGGGAATAAACTCCCTGAAGTCTTGATTTGGGGTGACAATGTCAATCTTAACTGACGGTTTCATTCTCATCTATCCGAAGTTCACTTCCCTGCTGGGATACCTGCAGGGTTCTCCTCAAATGGCCTCTGCATCGTCTCCTGCCTCCAGGTCCTTGCCCAGTTTGAGTTCCTGTCCGTCCTGACCTCCTTCCTTTCCTCCCCAAGCTGCTTCTGTCATGGTGACATGCTTCATCACCACAGTGGAAACCCTAGTCTATTGTACCCATGTAGGGTTTGCGGTGGTATGAGGAAGGCAGGTGCCTGCCACCTTCCCATCATTCCTTTATTTGTAACTTCACACACTAAAGAGACCAGGAAGGATGTGTGGCCATCCACATATCGCTTTGCCTGTGGATTTCCATGGGACACAGACGACTCGCGAGTCACAAAGTGAAGACTCCCTGCATCCCATGGCTCCCACTCATTAAGAATACGGTGATTCCACCAAACACAACAGACAGCAGGAACTATCGCTCACCCTCGCTTCCCTTTCTTGGTGTGCACAGCAGAGCAGGGATGGTAACAGAGACTTCCACTGTGCTAACCTTCTGAACCATTTTTAGGAATGTGAGCTAGCTAGTCATTCCCACTAACTCTGAATACTTCCATAACCAGTGGCTGGCTTGTTATAAGCCATTATCTCTGTGAATCCGGGCCACCAGAGCTAAGGATATATTTGATTAATTCTAAAATGTGGACTTTCCCCCTGACACACACATCTCTTTGATTATGACAGACAGAGCATCATTACTTCCTGGAAAAATACTTTTGTGTTCTTAGAGATACATAAAATAGTATGTCATTCCAACAATAAATGAGCTTTTGATTTGATGAAATAACTAGATGTATCAGCATGCAGGACCTTGTCGGGTGCTCAGAGCTAGAAGGCTGAGGGACAGGTAAAAGAGAGGCACCTCCATGCCCAGAACAAACTGCAGCCCTAACTTATATGAAGGAAACTCTTTCCACTCCCAAACTCTGGGCTCAGGGATCTGAATTAGGCTCAACACAAAAGTGGATGTTCCCATACAGAAAGATAAAGTCTGAAGATGATCCTTTCCCAGACAGAAGACAGGCTTCACTTCCAGATTCACTGAGACTTAGGGTCACAGGGTTACTTTATTTTATGACTTCTAGGTTTGTTTCTATCACCTAACATTTATAAAATGATCCTTTGTGTTTCAGATACTGGACAAACAAAAGAAAAAAATCATCAGTAAGCAAACCAGGTGCCCCTAAAGTATTCAGACCATAACAGACACAAAAATAAGTTAAAGCCAGGAGATGAAAACAGTACGTGTAAGGAGACAAAGGAGGAGCAGTGATTCTACCACAAATTCAGGGATGTTTCTGGAATAAGGGAGGACATGTAAGTAGGGACAAATGTTCACCAGCAGAGAGGCCAAGCAGTCTGCAGCCTGTGCCACTGTGCAGGGTGGGACCCCAGTGAGGACACAGTTTCTGTAGAAGACTAAGATAAAAAAAAAAAAAAAAAAAAAAGTCCCGTGTACCTCACTGTAACACTCGCTCTTACTTGTTGGGATATTTGATCTTTTTGTGAAACTCCGAGACTGTGTTAATAAAATTAATCTTGGATTAGGGGGCATAGCCAGTAACTAGTTGACAAGAATTAGCCATAGAGAGGACAGAGGACCCAGGAGGATAGAGAGATGCATAGGAAGGAGTAAGGAGGGACTCAGAATGTTACAAGCCTTTTTGGTTTGGGGCGGGAGGAGAGATGCTCTCTTGCTGAGTGTCCAGCTAAAAAGGAAGGCCAGCTGGTTGCTTCGCAGCTTCTCTGATCTAGCAGGTTTTCACCCCAACATCTGACTCCCGGGTCTTTATTGGTAAATAAAACATCTTAGATAAAAACAACACACTTAAGGGTCTCACTATGTATCTGTACTTGACTTTAACTTTCTGCAGCTTTCCAAGCAACCGAATTACAAGTGTATGTCACTACATCTGGCTCCAAGGGTTTAGTTATTAAACATAGATCTGACTTTGAGAAAGAGAGTTCCACCAGGTAAAAAACAGTCTAGAGCCAGGGAGATCTTCAGTAGGGAACTCTCAGAATGATACACTGAACACTAAGAAGTCTTACACTACACACCAGGGAGGGTTGGACCAAGCAACCCCTACGCAGTATCTGATGAAGAGAGGACGATAGCAAGAACTACTATCGAAAGCTCCCTCCACATCTGATTCCCAGGTACCCTTACGTGGAGTCCAGCAGAGTCCCATCCAGGAGCGAGGCATTGTAGTGGTATTTCAGGTAATCCCCCTTCTTACTCAGCACAGAGCAATCAGGAGGCTTGTAATGGGACGTGATGCTGATGGAATCTGAAGGGTTGTGGAAGTCAATCACATGGATGTCAAACACCAGCACAGCTGAGCCAGGAATATTCCCTAAAGGGGAGACACAGGGAATCAATGAACAAGCCCACCAAGGTACAGCACACTTGCCTCCCCAGTACTGGCAGGTGCAAGGAACCCAGGGGCCCAGGCATGAAATTGAAGGGGTACTAGAAAAAAGAAGCCAGAAGGAATGTCAGACGTAATCATTTTGCACTTGAAAAAGAAAAAAAAAACTGGGGCACAGTTGATAGGAGTCATGAAACTAATTATTATGAGTACAGCTTGAATTCAGCCCATGGCCCCAATTACTAAGCAAGAAAAGAGGCATGGCTCAGTGGAACACAGGTCAGAAAACTCAAGTCTATGCCAATGAAGGCCCGCCCTGTCCCAACAGAAGAGGCAGCATGGAAATGAACTGTAGGATAACAGTAGGTCAGTGTCCAACCTACTACTCAAGAAAAGAGAAACTCATAAACTTCATAGAAGAAACACAGACTGTACCATGCATACCCCTTAGGTTAGCATACCAGAATCAAAAAGTATCTAAAACGCATCCAGCTTGTTCCACACAGGGTGGGCATAATCAGGCCCGGCACAAATAAAGCAATTAGATGAGTGCCTGGTATTTAATAAGCACCTACTGCTTATATATATACTTGTGAATACTTGACATAATCTTCTATTTTCAATATACAAATGGGAAAACATGGGCACAATCTGAGGTTTGCCCAAAGTTAAGAGTTATGGAGAAATTTGTGTCTTTACCATAAGACACAGCTGTGGCTGTCGCTGCTGCGTTTGTGGAATTTTGTGGTTTTATAACAGGTCTCATCAAAGCATCTGCACCCGCAGTGTGACTCCACTAAGAACCACGAAGTGGTAAGCGTCACTGAAGCTGAGCAGGGCTGGAGAGACAGCTTTGCAGTTAAGCGCACTTGTTGCTTTTGAAGAGGACCTGGGTTCCATGCCCAGCACTCACACAGTGGCTCACATCCATCTATAACTCTGGTTCCAGGGAAACCAATGCCCGTTTCTGGCCTTCTCAGGCATTTCACACGTGTGGCACACATACATGCATGCAAGCAGACACTCACCGATATAAAATAAATAAATCTTTTTAAAACAGAATAAAACTGAAGTCAATCACTGAGGTCAGATCTCCAGCCAGTTCCCTATTTAACTTCACTCAGCCCTTATTTGCCAAAGTAGTTGGGTGAAGTCGTTTTTTTTATTATCAATCATGAGTTTGGTCACTGGCCAGATGGCCTCTGGGCAGTTACAGCGTAAAGAGTAATAATGACTTTTGCTCTTGAGATGGGGAATCTCTTGGCTTAGTGATGAGACTCCAGTTAGGATCGGGATCTCTATGTGTTCATTTGTCTCCAAACCTCCACCTGTGCGGGAGTCTATGATCATCTCCTGTGCAAAGGATCCCTGAATCAAAGGTGGCTCTTCAGGACAGCTACTGATAAAGTTAGTAATAAAAAACATTGATGATAAATAAACCGTCTTTTGGAAGAAGCTGTAGGCAAGACAGTTGTAAGTCAGTGATGGCAGGACCGCATCTTGACCAGAACTGCTCAATTACGGGTACCTCTCGCCCTCTACTTAAACCTCAGCCTCACGCCACTAAAGATAGATATATGGGCAGGGGGTTTTCAGGCCACTTCATCCGTCCAGGGTGACCACTCAAGTCAATCTCATTGTTTCTCATCAATTTTTGTCTCTTTCCTTGGTATACTGGGGATGAGGCTGAACCTAACTTCCAAGGGCTTCCGGAGCTTTAACCTGAGTGACTTCAGTAACACTGTGAATATACTTAAAATGTGAATATACTTAAAATGTGAATATACTTAAAATGTGAATATACTTAAAATGTGAATATACTTAAAATGGTGAATATACTTAAAATGTGAATATAATTAAAATGTGAATATACTTAAAATGGTTAAAATAACTGTTAGTGTGTGTTTTTCCCTTCTCACTCATAAGTGGTTTTTAGACATAAAGTTAAAAAAAAATCATAACCCCAGAGAACCTAGATAACAAAGAGGACCCTAAAAGAGACATATGTGGATCTAATCAACAAGAGAAGTAGAAAAAGACAAGATCTCCTCAGTAAATTGGGAGCATGGAGGTCATGGGAGAGGGTAGAAGGAGAGGAGGAAGGGAGGGAAGCAGAGAAAAATATATAGCTCAATAAAAACAATTTTTAAAAAAGGAAGATATAGAACTACTATATATCTTGACTGTGGTAGACAATGATTCTCCACATATGATAAAATTAGTAAACCTGGAGAAATGTGAATAAGATCAGTGGATTTGATCAATATACACATCCTTGTATGAGATACTTACACTATGATTTATTAACATGACCACTAAGGAAACTAAGTAAAGGAGGACACCTGTTATTCTATAATGAATCAACAATTATCTCAACAAAAATCCAATCAAACAAAAAATGGTTAAAATGGGAAAGGCATGCACCACTATCTCTTTACTCCCAGCACTCAGGAGACAAAAGCAAGCAGACAAGCCAGTTTAAGGCCAGCTTGATCTATATAGAAAATCCAAACCAAAAAGTGTCTCAAAAAAAAAATCAAATAATGTAATTTTCCACCTCTGAATACAAAAAAAAATAAGGTATATCTAAAAAAAATCACATCAGAACCTTAAAAATGTCAGTCAGCAGCAGTAGGGAGGCAGAGGCGGGAAAATGCTGAGACAAAGAGTGTCTCAAAAAGAAAAATTAAAATGTGAGTGCCTGGGCCTGATTCTGGAATGTTAATAGCGGTCACAATCTTTTCTGAATTGAGAACAAGGTAAATACAGAGGCCTGGCCCACTACCACTCAATCCCTTAGAAATTACAGGTGACTCTCACTGCACCAACATTCGAGAACCTGTGGGCCAGAAAAGGGCCAGGGATTTCTTTTCCTAGGTGACTGTGTTTAAGAAAAACTATGGTTGGGCATGGTGGCGCACACCTTTAACCACAGAACTCAGGAGACAGAGGCAGGCAGATCCCTCTGTGAATTCTAGGTCAGCCTGGTCTACAGAGCACTAGATCAGTCGTCTGATCTACATAGCAAGTTCCAGGCCACAGGGATACACAGTGAGACACTGTTTCAAAAAAAAAAAAAAAAAAAAAAAAACACAAGGAAAAAGACTATAGTGAAGGCATGTGATTGACTAACCTTTCTCAGACATAGAGTCATAAGTAGGCAGACACTAAACTTGATTAGTGTAAATAAAATGATCCCTTTATGATGCACTGGGAAACAGCCTTCTACAGAAGAAAACAGAGTAAGTTTGAAATCTGCGCATTCCCGGGATCTGCTCCTAGCTTGCCAAGCACTCTGCTGATGACTAAGGCAACTTCTTTGACACAGACTTCTTGGTCAGTCGAGAGACAGACACACACCCACACTGTATTAGCACTAGGCTTGCTGGTCAAGCTCTAGGAAGTTAATGTGGGTCAGTCTCCCAGGTGCCCAGTTAACTCAGAGACACAAACATCCTAGTGAGGGCATCAATGAGGATCTAGGCTCTGTGTGGGCAGGGAGTTATTGTTGCTCTTATTCTCTGATGGGTTCCTAACACCCAAGCAGAACATGGGTGTGGAATGACTTTAATGCATCTTCAACAGACCAGAAAATTGGGAGTGCCTTCACCTGTAAAACCAGAGGACAGACCTTGAACCCTAAGGATTAGTCTTGAGCCCACAAAGAGCAGGTTAAGGCTGACAACAAAGGCTGCCAGTAGGCTGTCTGTCTGTCCCAGCAGAAAGCTCCACTTCCTAGCAGTTACTAATTCCCTTTGAGATCTCTAGAACTTCTGGTTTAAATTCTCAGTTCACTACATATGGAAACCAAAAAGCCGCTGCCCAATGGGGACATAGACACATTAGAAAGTTCTAGGTCTTGGTTGTGGCTCCATTCTATGGCATTAAGCAAAAAGCTCAACTTTTATGGGTCTTACTATCTTATCTACACAGCGATTATGGTAACACTTTCTGTTGTGTATGGTCGTGTGTGTGTAAGTACACAGACACACGTATGCAGGCCAGAGGGCAAATTCTGGTGTTGTGCCATGAACACTGTTGATTTTTCTGTGGGTTTTGTTTGTTTTTATCCTTTTAAGATATGGTCTCCTACTGTTCTTGAACTTAGCAAGTCACCTAGACTCACTCAGGGAGCCCCAGAGATCCACGTGTCTCTGCCTCCTTGGTGAACACACCAATACCGTCATATCTGGCTGTCCTATGTGGGTATTATGGAACAAATATCTGGTCTTCAAGTTTATATGACAAGCCATATTATAGTAACACTGCCCACAGCTGTTTCCAGTTTTCAGTGAGCTTTTGTGCAAGCAGTCCCAGAGGGCTCGGGGAGAAGGCTCAGTCAGCAAAGTGCCTGCCACACAAGCATGACAAGTTGAATTCAGATCTCCAGAACACGTAAAACTCTGGGCACAGAATGCATGCCTGTAACCCTAGCCTGAAGCTCATTTAGCCTGAACTGAATGGATGAGCTGTGGGTCCAGAGAAACTCGGTCTGAAAAAAATAAAGGGAAGGGCAATCAGAAAAAGACACCTGACATCAACCTCAGGCTTCCACCCAATGTGCACACACACATATACAACAACAACAACACACATACACACACACACACAACCCGACACAGCGGGCAAAGCAGCAATTATTTTGCTCACTCTCTTTTTCCCTAAAAAGTGCTTAAAAGATAGTAAAGCAGCAAACCAGATAGAAGCTTCCTTCTCTAACAAGAAAGCTGTACTCCAGAGCTGCAAACTTCAAAGTGTCCTCAATCCAGAGCTGTCCTTGAGGAACACAGCAAAACAGAAAAGACCAGAATGACTCCAGAAGTCCCACTCTGTTTTGCTAACCCTACAGGTGACACGCTATAACAAAACAAAATGTTGGTAGATGCTGTGAGCTCCATCAAGGGCTCATTGCTGACAATCTTACTGAGACCTCAGTGCCCGGCACTCCCGTGTGCTAAGAGGAATTTACAAGCTAGATAAAGCTGCATCCTACGTGTTTCTGGACCAGTACTCCAGGGATCAGCATGTAACCATTCCCAAAAGTCACTGAGCGCTAAGCCAGAGCAATAATGCAGTACCCCCCCATTCCCACCCTCACCCCCCACACAAGAGAGATGTGGGGTGTCCTTCTGGTCTGGGTGGCCGGGAAACGAAAGCACAGTCTCCGTTTACACAACACCTACGGTTTACACTTCAACATGGGATTCAGGATGGAGCAGCCTCTTGCTCATAACATTTATGATTCTTTGGAAGTTTCCCAAAGCCTCATTTAATTCTGTGCAGACCTCGGTCTCATACTTGATGGAGAGCCAAAAGGAAAAAATAGTTTAAGCAAATGGTTTTCATCTGTGTGTTTTTTTTTTAAGACAGGAAGGATCATTCCTCAAGCCGTAATGAAATAACACTCAGAAACTACCTGCTTCTGTGTATGGTTGACCAGAACTAAAACCTGGCACAGTGTAAAAGAGTAGTATCAAAACACTAAACGGGACAGGAAGCAAGGCCCATTTTACCTATTAATTTATTTATTTATTCATTTATTCATTCATTTAGTTCATTGCAGAGGACTGAACCCAGGGCCTCATGTATACTAAGCAAGCATTTTTACCACTGTATACTCCCCCATCTTTTTTCTCCTTCTGTCTCTGTCTGTCTCTATCTATCTATCTATCTATCTATCTATCTATCTATCTATCTATCTATCTCTATCTCTGGAACAGGGTCTCATGTAGCACAGATTGGCCTCAAAGTCACTATCAGCTTAGCGTAGTGGTTTGAATGAGAATGACCCCATAGGCTCATATATTTAAATGCTTGGTCCCAGGTGGGTGAAACCGTTTGAGAAGAATTAGAAGACACAACCTTGTTGGAGGATGTGAGTCAGTAGGGGCAGGCTTTAAGGTTTCAAAAGCCCATGCCATTCCTAGTTGATTCTTTCTGCCTCCTACATACACACCTAAGCCCTTAACTATTCATGCCACCATGCTTTCTAGGCCGCTGGCCTGCCATCGTGGACTCCAACCCTCGGAAACTGTAAGCCTAAAATAAATGCTTCTCCGAGATGCCTTGGTCACAGTGTCTTATCACAGCAACAGAAAGTAACTAAGACACTGAGCATGCCCTCTGACTCCTAAGTCTCCTGGGTGCAGAGGTGACAGAATGCATTGCCACATCTGGCGCTAGCTCGTATTTCTTTAGGTATGATCCTTTACGGCCCAGAAAATCAAAAGTTTGGGTCAGAGAGGAAAAAATTGCTTCTCAATTGTACCCTCTAGTTTCTAATCAGCTTGATGCTTTTTGGATCCTCTGTGAGGAAATCTCCAGAGAAAATTTTCAAGATCCATATTATATGTGAATAGAAGTCAGAAGAGGGTTAACAAAGTGAATATATTCAGCCAATGAGATCAGCCTGAATTCCAGCAATAAAAGGAATATAAGCCCATGCTAAAAAAAAAAAAAAAAAAAAAAAAAAAAAAAAAGTAAAAAACAACNAACTCAGCAAAAACTAATGCAAGAAGCCGGGCGGTGGTGGCACACGCCTTTAATCCCAGCACTCGGGAGGCAGAGGCAGGCAGATCTCTGTGAGTTCGAGGCCAGCCTGGTCTACAAGAGCCAGGACAGGCTCCAAAGCTACAGAGAAACCCTGTCTCGAAAAACAAACAAACAAACAAACAAACAAACAAAAAAACTAATGCAAGAGATAGAAATGCAGTAACAAAAACAAAGATAAACATGATTTCAAATATTAAATACTATATAGCTATTAAAAGTATCTGTTGACAGGGTGGTAAGATGGCTTGGCAATATTAAAGGTTAATAATAAATACCTGTTGGCATATAAAACTGTTAACAACAAACTGGAAGAGAGGGATTTCAACACAGTATGATGGGAAGATAATCTCTTTCGGGATATATGAGTGTGGGTAGACGTCTCCTTATTCCTCCTCTCTATCTTTGATAAAGGGTCTAGCTAGGTAGCCCAGGCTGGACTGAATTCTCCTGCCTCCCGAAAGCCATGAATACAGATATGTATTCTTATACTTAGTAGATACATTTCTTTTAACTTACAGATATATACAGATACACCCAAAGTACAGAAATACCTACTACTGGGATAACAAATTACATCAAATTTGGGGAGTTGAAATTACAAACACTGAGCTGGTGGGGGTGGGGGGGAAAAGCCCTTGCCTAGGATGCACAGGGTCCTAGGTTCCATGACCAGCACTGTAAGAGAGAGAGGGAAGGGAAGGGGAAGAGAGAGGAGGAAGGACAAGCAAACAGACGCAGTTCTGAAGTCAGAGGTACCGGCAGGGGCATGCTCCTTCTGGAGGCCTCAGAAGAAAGAGTTTCCTTGTCCTGTACATTGTGTCCTGTCTGCCCCCCACCCCAACCAAACGCAACCCACATCAGTGACTACAACCACATCCTCAGTCTCAGCCAAGCTTAGTTAGCTTCTCATCCAGCTCACATCCTGCCTCCCGCAAAGACATTCAAAGCATTCATTACAGGGCCATCTGGATACCCCAGAACACCATCCCTGCTTCAAGGTCCTTAATCACACCAGAATATACCCTTTGAATAAAGAAATATTCAGAGGTTCATGGACACTTTTTAATGTAATATGGACACTTTTTAATGTAATATGCCTACCACAGAAACACTAACCTCTCGTGGGGTGATTTAGGGAGGTTGGAGGTCCTAATCTTCTCTAATCCTAAAAATAAAATACATTTTTGCATCTATTTTTGTCTGTTTTTTTTTTTGTTGTGATTTGTTTTTTGTTATTTGTTTTTGTTTTTGAAACAAGGTCCCATTTAGTTCAGGCTAGCCTCAAATTTCTTACGTAGCCAGAATAACTACGAATTCCTGACTCTCCTGCTTCCACCTCCAAAGTGTTGGGATTGCAGGCACATGCCACCATGCTGAGCTAGTTCTACAACTATTTAAAGGAAGTTTGCTACTAAGGTGACAAAATGTCCCTGGAATTAAGGTTCTAGCTACACGACTCACTAAATTTGCTAATGTTGCCAAATTGTACAGTTATATAGGGGGATTTCTTAGTGTGCAAAATAAAAACCAAAAGGGGGGGGGGGATAAAGTTACACTTACTTTCAACCACTTTATTTAAAATAAATAAATAAATATAAAGGCAGTTAAAATAGAGTAAAATGTTGGGACTGCAGAGATGACCCATCAGTTAAGAACACTGGCTACTCTTCAAAAAGACCCAGTTCAGCTCCTAGCATCAACACGGCAGCTCATAACTGTCTTTAACTCTAGTTGCAGGGGATCCAGTATCCTCTCCTGGCCTCTTCAGACAATGCATACATAGTACACTTACATACGTGCAGGTGAAATACTCATACAGGTAAAATAAAAATAAATATATTGTATATAACATATAAGCATACATAGATAGAATCATAGATAGAGGAGTAAAATATTAATAATTGGTCAAACAAAGTAGAATTCACTGTAAATAAATAATATATATTATATAAATTTATATATTATTTATATAAATAAATATTTTGTATATAACATATAAGCATACATAGATAGAATCATAGATAGAGGAGTAAAATATTAATAATTGGTCAAACAAAGTAGAATTCACTGTGCAACCCTTTCAACACCGGTGTAGATTTTAAATTTTTCAGAAAGGAAAATGGGTAGGGCACACAGTTGCCACCAAACAGCTGTAGAATGACAGGCATCAGTGGGATGGAATCTTAACACTGCATCTGGCTTCCTTGTTTTGTCTCTGACCTGAGCAATGTAGAAGCAGCGTTAGTGAGGAGGGCAGGTAATACACACCTCTTCCTTCTTCTCCATAGCCCAGGTGGGGAGGGACCACAATCCTTCGCCTCTCTCCAATGCAAACACCAAGTAAGCCTTCATCCATCCCAGGAATCACATAGCCATGCCCAATGTACGTGTCAAAGGTGTGGTTCCGTGAGTAGCTAAGAAAGAAGAAGAAAAGGGTGAGGTCATTCATAAGGGACACCCACAGCAGCTGTGGAAATTACTCACAGCCCAAGAACGTGTTCCCCTGGAATGGGGAGCATGTGGGCACCTGCAGAAACAACATGCTATACTGACGATGTGTATGACCACATTATAAAAGGCATGGGAGTGAGAGAAGCAGCCACATACAGCAGAGCTGATGGGAGTTGCCTATCTCCTTCCCAGTTCCCTTTCGTCCCAGTACTAACAGTTCTCTCCTCCATCTTTCTTTTGAAATCAACTCAATACTATGAGTCTTCCTCTGCTTTTTCCTTCCCACTCATCCCCACAGCAGAGCATAGGAAGTACTATCAGTGTTTCCTAACTCCTAAAGTACTGTCTAAACAATGACGGCGTTCCGTTGATCACGTAATTTCACAGTGGGCCTTCCCTTTGACAGCAATTGTTTTGGGAGACAGTGCTCTTCTCCCTAGTAGTACTGGACTGAGCCTGGTGCCCTTAGCACAATTCTAGCAGACAAACGGGACACCTCGAGTTATGGAAGTCCAGGCCCTCTTGAGCACTGCGGACACTTCCACTGAAAAACTAAGGATGACAGTGAAAAGAACAAAAACAAAAACAAAACCTAAGCCCAGATGCACAGGTCCCAGTGTTAAAACATAAGGACTGTGTAAAACAAGTACAGCCTGACTCCATCAAGAATTGCCAACTCCACAGGGTGGCCCACATAGAAAATGAATCCGATGAAATCCCAGGGAAAGAATTCAAAAGAATAATTATTTATAAGTATATTCAAGGAAATCAAACAGAATACACACTCATGAATTAATAGAGAACAGAAATAAATAAGTGAAACAAGAAAGTCAATACAGCACATAAAAGTGAAATTTAATAAAGAGAGCTATTAAGGAGCCAAAGAGATGGCTCAATCGTTAAGAGAGAAGACCCCAATTCAGTTTGCAACATCCAGAGCAGCGGCCTAAACCTTCATGTACCTCCAGCTCCACGGGAATGTGGCCTCTGCAGATACCTGCACATATGTGCACATAATGTGCACGCCGACACACACACACATACATACATACATACATACATACATACATGTGATTTTTAACAATACTGAAAAAAATAAAAACTGAAATACTGGAAATGACAATTTCAGGATGTTCTGTAAGTTGCAGAGACTCACCAGCAGAGTAGCTCAACAGGAGGAAAGAGTGGCAGAGCTTGAAAACAAGGTGGAGGAACTGTAATATTCAGACAACAACACAGACAGACTGTGCAGTAGAACATGAGTAGAATAGTCAAGATCTATGGAGTATAATTTAAAACCCAAATCTAGGCACAGGAAAAGGAGAAGAATTTCATGTTCAAGGCAAAAAAAAAAAAAAAAAACATTTTCAATAAAATCATAGCAGAAATTTTCCCAACTCTAGGGGGAAAGGTCCCCAGAAATAGGTTGCACTTAGAATGCCAATTAGGCAAGACCAGAGAACTTTCTCATGCCATACTTACAATCAAAACGCTAAATATATAGAATAAAAATGCAAACAGAGGAAAATGCTTTCAACCCATAAAAGGGTTAATTTCTTCAAATCAATAAGGACAAATTAAATGCCAGCAATATAAAAATAGGCAAAAATAATAATAAAGGATATCTAAATAAATATTTGGAAACAGTAACCAAAGAACTTCAGGTTAAAATCATAGGTATGATTTTTCTCTTGAAATTTACCAAAGTTTAACTTGCTTTGTTTTGTGTTTTGAGATCAGGCTAGCATCAAAACTTGAGAAAAATCCTCCTGCCTTCCAAGTGCTAGGGTTGAAAACATAAGCAATCAAACCTGGTTCTTACTTCTAAATGATACCCAGAGAATGTATATCAAAACCTATAAAAAATATACGTAAGAGAGTAGACAGGAAATTAGAAACTGACATGATTCTATTTCAATTAAGAATATATTAAAATTAAATACACACACACACACACTTACATATAAGCTTTGGCCCAAAGATTCTTCTTGGACACATACTTGAAGACTTAGGTGCAAAAATAATTAAAACTCTTAAATGTCAAAGAGTAGTAAAACCATAAATGAGACCATAAATGGTCCCAAAAAAGAATTGATACCCAAGTTTAGGACAAAATCTATTATGTTAGAACAGGCGAGATAAAATTGGAAACTATGCAAGACCTGCAGAAACAATAGTTCCATCGTGTGGGCAAAAATCTAGTATGCCCAGAAAATAATCTGCCCACCTCCTTCCTTCCCTCTCTTCCTTCAACAGGGCAATCCCTATGTTGTCCAACATCTGAGCTCTAGTAATCCTCCTGCTTCAAACTCCCAATTAGCTGGGAACACAGGCACATACCACTCCACTAGGACCACCTTGAGTTCAGGAGTTCAAGATCAGTGTAATCTATGCCACTTCAAAAAAATTTAAAAAAAAAAAAAAAAGGCTTGGGTTTTCACTCAGTGTGAAGTGAGGGGGTTCAATCCAAAATTATAAACTTTCAAAAGAATGAAGAGTGAGAGAAGGGAGGAGAGAAATGGAAGAGGGGGGAGAAGAAAGATGATAAGGGAAAGAAAAGAAAGAGTAAGAGAAACACTTATAAAATGGTTACATTGGGGCTAGACAGAAGGCTCAATAGTTAAGAATACCGGTTCTTCCTGCAGAGGACCACGTTCAGTTCCCAGCACCCACATGGTAACTCACAGCCATCCATAACTCTAGTTCCAAGAGGTCTAATGATTTCTTCTAACCTCTGTAGACACCAGGCACACATGAGATACACATACATAAATGCAGGCAAAACACTCACATACATAAAACAAATAGATCTTAATTAATTAATTAAAATTGTTAATGTTAAAAACTAGAACAAATGAGGTAAACAAACAGGTACAATGATTATCTTAATTTATTACCTAGCTTTACTTTGAACCAGTGACTATTTTTCATTTGAAAAATTTAATAAAAATGTAGACAAGATCTTAAGACTAAGAAGGATGTTATCCCAATAAAAGTAATATCATAAAAAAGTCTCCCTTTGATGCTTCAGATACATAAACAAATGAGAAGTCTATTACGTCAGAGACAGGAGGTTCTGTCACCACTTGTTTATGGGAATCTCAAGGAGTGGTTTCAGAACTAGCCTGCCACCTGAATGAACAGGACATGCCGCAGCTTGCCAAGGGCACTTTGCACTGACGCCATCTGCGCTGATGATGGGCAGTGTAATTACCCCTGCAGCATCCACTCAGAAGGGAGCTGAAGGCACCCAGCAGCTCCTCCAGCTGGTCGTACCTGAACTGAACCATCTCAGACCATGTAGAAACAAGGGATAAACTGAAGCTGATGTTCGGAGAGCTCCAACATTAGCCAGTGTGGGGAAGCTAGGGCACCACGGAGAGCTGGTTCTTTGTCCACTGTATCTCTGTGACCTCGCTTCTGACCATGCCACATCTCGGAGTCTACAGTGGGGTTCAGAGTCGGAAGGAATATAACGGGTGTCTAGGGTAAGCCCCTACTTTTTTCTTTCAAGACATGTAAATCAGGAAACCCTTGTAAACCACCTAGGAACAAATTCAGAATCTGAAAACAGAGACCTGTACTCAGGTCAAAATATGAGTCAGCCACTGGTGGAATTATTAACCCATGGTCAACAGTGCCAGCACTTCACTGAGCTGTTCTGGTGAGGGGAAATTAGTTTCCTTACCTGGAATCAAAGAGGGTGCCATCCAGAAGCGTGCCATTGTAATGATACCTGAGGAAGTCCCCACTCTGACTTCTGCGCTCACAGTTCTCGGGGACTACCTTGTTCTCGATGGAAATACTGTCCTTGGGGTTATGGAGGTCCAACAATGCAACATCAAAGACGAGGGACGCCTGCCCAGGAATGTCTTTCCCTGGAGAGAAATGGAAGAACGACTCATTCCAGACACAGAATGTGGGAGGTGCTTTAGCCACTACTCATGCCCTCTCTGTGGGTATTCCTCATTCCTTAAAGCTTCCCAGCCGAGGAAAACCTGGGTTGTTGTCTAACAATGGGCTAGTGGGTATAGCACACCGCCAGACCGCACACTACACCACCACACGCATGCTTCAGATGCTCGCACTGCAATGAGAAGCTCTGAAGGCAGCATGCACTGCCGCGGAAACCCAAATCCATACCTCCTGGGGGTTCTGTCTGCACAACTGCATTGTAAACATTCAAATGTGCAAATTCCAAACCTGTGACTTTGCTGTGGAAAACACTATACATACAGTCTTGTTCTTTCAAACCAAGAGCCACTTTTTAGAAACATAAGTTCTTTATCCAAAACAAAACATAAATAAACACAAGTTAGATGACAAACAAAAAGTGATACACACGATCTAAAAATAGTTTTTACATCTTTTCTATCTCATTTCTGCACAGTACTGCTACTCCTGGGTGTTTCTAAGACAGGATGTGCTGGACACAGCCTACCCTCTGTATTCACGGGTTTCAAATCCATGGGTTGAGTCAACCTCAGAGCACAAATATTGAAGACAAAAGGCTATGCCTGTAAAACAAGACATGGTGGAACACAAGTGCAGTCCCAGCACTGGGGACTAGAGGATGATGAGAATGCAAGGTTACCCTCAGCTACATAATGAATTCGAGGCCAGCCGACTCTAAATTAGACCTTTCTCAGGAAATCAAAAAATTATATCTGTACTAAAAACATATACTTCTACTTTTTCCATTACTCACTAAACTATACCAAATGACAATTATTTATGTATGTAGTATAGCCATTGTATGTATAGCAGGTTCCCCCAGAACTGAAATATTCCCGCCAGGAGTGGGAAGACTCGGGAGGTAAACAAACCACATATTTTATGCTTTTGGATAAAGAGAACAAAAGGATGTTTCTTTGGCATCTTCTAGACACTACAGGACTGATGCATATATGAACTCAGACTGTGACAGTATGCACAAGACCTGTACAGGTTCTAACCAGATACAATCCCAGCCCTGATCAGAGGAAGGGAATACCAAGTCCACCCCTAACCAAGAAGCTATTTGTAATCAATACCTACAGAGAAAAGAAAAACCAGTTTTCTCAAATGAAGTCTCAGTGAAATTATCAACCATATTCCAGGGCAGGCCCTATGCCTGGAGTGATTGGCCAACACAAAATGGACTACATGCTTTTGTCCACTACTTGTTCTGTTTGGGGTTTGTTGGTTTGTTTGTTTGTTTGTTTGTGGGCTTTTTATCTCATTGGCTTTCTTTATTTTAGTTTGTTTTTTTCTTTTTTGAGAGAGAGAGAGCATGAAGTTGGGGGAGTAGGAAGGTGGTCAGGACATGAGAGAAGTTGGGAAAGGGAAAAGCTATGATCAAAATATATTGAATAAAAAAATGTTTTTCACCAATGATAGCTTATGCTGGAGAGAGTGTGAGAGGGGTAAGAACACTCCTCCATTGCTGGTGGGAATGCAAATTGTACAACCACTCTGGAAATCAGTATGGCGGTTTCTCAGAAAATTGGGAATCAACCTACCTCAGGACCCAGCAATAGCACTTTTAGGAATACCCAAAGGATACTCAATCATACTACAAGGACATTTGTTCAATTATGTTCATAGAAGCATTATTAGTAATAGCCAGAACCTGGCAACAACCTAGATGCCCCTCAACTGAGGAACAGATAAAGAAAATATGACACATTTACACATTAGAGTATTACTCAGCAGCAAAAAAAAAAAAAATGGCGTCTTAAATTTTGCATGCAAATGGATGGAACTAGAAAAATCCATCCTGAGTGAGGTAACCTAGACCCAGAAAGGTGAACATGGTATGTAGTCACTCATAAGTGGATACTAGCTGTAAAGCAAAGGATATTGGGCCTATAGTCATGACTCTACAGAAGCTAAGTAACAAGGTGAACCCTAAGAAAAACATATAAAGATCCACCTGGAAAGGGGAAATAGAGAAGATTGCCTGACAAAATTGGGAGCATGGGAGTAGGGGGAGAAGGGAGGGCAGAAGGGGAAGAGGAGGGGAGAAGGGGAGGGAGAGAACTTGAGGGAACAGGATAGTCGAGATGGAGGAAGGACAGAGGTGATTGCAAAGAAAGAGATATTTTGATTTAGGGAGCCATTACCGGGCTAGTAAGAAACCTGGCACTAGAGAAATTCCCAGGAATCCACTTACTGCTCTTGCAGAAGCCCCTGGCTCAATTCCCTGCAATGGTTTATCCCTCCAGCTCCGGGCGATCTGCAGCCCCTTCTGGCCTCTGAGGCGGTACACGCATGTGGTACACATACAGAGAAGTAGGAACACACACATACACATAAACAAAAAGTAAACATGCTAAAACGAACGAGCAGAGCTATGAGAAAGAGGACTTACCATCTCCCTCTTCGCCATAGGCCAGGAAAGGAGGGATGGTGATGATGCGCTTCTCCCCAACACACATGCCCAGCAGCCCTTTGTCCATCCCGGGAATCAGCCATCCAATTCCCACGTACGTGTCATAGGTTTTCATGCGATTGTGGCTGGAAGGGAGGGAGGGAGGGAGGGAGGGAAGGAAGGAGAAGGAAACAAGTTCTATATCATTTCTAATTCATGAGATTTTTGTTTCTCAAATCTCAGATAACCAAGAGTCCACACTCATCCCTAGTGACAGGCATAGGTCCCATATTTGCTCGCTGATATAAGGAAGAAGCAAAAAGCTCACATTTAGCCCAGAGTCAACAGTTGTCCCACTCATTGAACATTCTGTATTTCAGGAAGCCTCAGAGAGTTTCCTGGTTTTTATCCTAGCCTCAAAGGTCTCCGCAGTTTCATTGCCCCCTCCCCTACCTGTTTAAAGATGTATTTATGTATTATGCATGCAATGTTCTGCCTGCACATATCCCTGCAGGCCAGAAGAGGGCACCAGATCTCACCATGCGGTTGCTGGGAATTGAACTCAGGACCTCTGGAAGACCAGTTAATGCTCTTAACCTCTCAGCCATCTCTCCAACCCTCCTCTTCTTTCCATGGGCAAACTATATAAATGAGTCAAACACCCATGAGATTCCTGGGAAATGTGGCTCTTAAGTGGGAATCTTCAAATGTGTTTTAAATGAAATCAAGATTGTTTTTATATTTCTTCTAAGGTGTTCTATTTTGACTCTGGCACCACGGAGTATCAAACACTAACCAAAACTATATGGGGTAGGATTTGGTACTAGGTATGAGTGCCTCTGGCTGAGTGCTTTTTCTGGTTTCCAAATGAGCACAGAAAGGAGGCAGGGCAGAAGGAACCACACACTGCAACGAATCGTGGAACTTACCTGGAGTCAAACAGCGTCCCGTCCAAGAATGTTCCGTTGTAATGGTACCTCACAAAATCGGACACCTGGATAGTCCGAGGACAGCTGGGAGGCTTGAAATACGTCTGAATCTGAACCTGGTCTTCAGAATTCCAAATATCCATCAGGAGTACATCAAAATGAAGTACCGAGTTTGGAGGGATCACACCAGCTGGAAATTAAAGTGAGCTCACACTGAGAGTCTGCCCCCTTCTGGCGATACAGAGATCCCTCAGGAAGCCACTGTCGAATAGCTATTTTCTCCATGGTGAATCACTCCCTCCAGAAGGGAGAAAGCTGGTACAGTAGACTGAGGAAGTAACGAAAAGCTACAAGATTTCCTAGATTTCTCCATAAAGCTGTAAGGTGTAAACAGTGGCTACGGAGAGGACTGTGCCCTGAAGAGCACAGGGAGCTCTGGAGACGCAGCTTTTATGTGGGGTCACCCATGCAGGCTACAGTGGGCTTCTGACCGACCCAGCTGCTGCAGAGTCACTCACACTCCCTGAAGTGACCCCTCAGCCAGGCTTCTGTAAGTTATCTCTGTAAACTCACTCGTTCACCAGGCTGGATTTCAGTGGGATCTTTGGTCCGCTATCAATGGCCTAAGTGGGTTAAATAAACATTTCTTCACATTCCACAGGGAAAAGCCAATTGACCATTATGATTAATGTAACAGAAGTCCAAAGAATTCAAACCCATCGCTGAGGTACAATTTCAAAAGGTCCATTCTTTCTACATCCTTCCCCCAAATAAAATGAGAGAGAGAAAGACTCCTCTCATGAGGAACTCATTAGATCTCCCATGTTGGCACTTTCTTCTGCATCTAAGAAATAAAACTACAAGGGAAATGCTAGTTTGGCCTTTTTCTCCCCTCCCCTCCCGCCCCCCATTAAAGATCCCAAATTCTCCAGTCAGGCTGGCTTCAACACCTGCAAAAGTGTCTGTAAGTCGAGTGAAAACTTACACACTCCTTCACTTCCATAGGCAAGGTCTGGGGGAATCGTCACGAAGCGCCTCTCGTTCACGCACATCCCCACCAAAGCCTGGTCCATCCCTGCGATCAGCTGGCCTTTTCCCACAAAGACATTGAAGGTAGAGTCTCTGTCATAGCTAAAGATCCAGAAGGTAGGGGGAGAGAGATAAAAGCATAGTTATCCCCACAGAGAATGCAGCTTCATGAAGGTCACAGCCAAGGGAAAGACCTACCAAGAGTTCCTGGCCCAGGAAATGCCCTCGCTGGGCATTTGAGGAGTTGGTTTTATATGAATTTGAAGATTACCAACAAATTGAAGTAGAAATGATTGGCATACAAGCCTGACAACACGAGCTTGATCCCCTGAACCCACAGTGGAAGCAAAGAACCCAGTCCTAAAGCTTCCCTCTGATGCCCTAAGCACTGGAGGCGCGCGCAGCAGGGAGGGGATGCACACTAGAACATGCTGACGGGTCAGACAATAAATAACAGATCACGGCTAGGACGTACACCCTTGCTTTTTAACATTAAATTCAGCAACACTTTTACCTTCTAGGAGAGGATGGATACGTGCTTTGAGAGATAATAAAGTTCAAGACAAAGACTTTGTCTATACATATTTTATAAACTGGCAGAGACTCATAGTTTCAAACATTGAATTTAAAAAAATGACTGGACATCTGGGCTTCATAGCTCCTATGGAGTATGAGCTACAAGGGAGGCTGAGGGGAAAGGATCACAAATGCAAGGCCAGTTGGGCAGCCTGGTGAAACTAGCTCAAAATTTAAAGGAAAAGAGGTCTGCGGGTTTACTCAGTGGTGGAGTAGCTGCCTAGCACTGCAAAGCCCTGGGTTTCATCTCCAGTACTGCAGAACAAAGAAAAGGGCTATGGGAAATGAGGGCAAAATAGAGAAAAATAAGCAAAAGAAAACTTGCTGTGGATCTTGGTTTACAACAATTAACAGTGAAGATAACTCAAGGGTAGGAACCTGGCTGCATCTCACTCAGATGTACCATGAAATGGGCTGCGGCCATCTTTTGGCTTCCTACTCACTCACACAAGAACGACAGTCACAGTAAGTGAGGTGTAGGCCCAAGGAGATGGTTCAGCTGGCAAAAGTACCTGCTGCCAAGCCTGACACAACCTGGGTCCCCAGAATTGACATGGTAGATGGAAGGAAAGAACCAATTGCTACCAGACATCCTCTGACTTGTGTGTGTGTGTGCTAGGATAAGCAAGCACACATAGAGAGACACACACAAAGGCACACACACACATACACACACACACACACACTGTAGGAAATAGAGCTACAGTGGAAAATGATATCATTTTCCATTTACTCATATATAGATAATATGGTAAGATCCATTTCTTAAAAATCAAGAAAAAATAGAAAAAAAATTAATAAGTAACAGCATTTAATTCACGAGGCTGTGCCAAGCCTCCTTTTGAAACTCCTGCCTTTTGCTCACTTTCTCCTAATGAACGGTTTAGTCAAGCAGTGGAGACAGCTTCCTCAGACCTGCCCCCCTCACTCCCTCCTCCTAGTCTTACACCCCATTTTCACCGCCTTCCTTTCCTGAAGGTAAAGAACAGAAAGCAGGATTTCACGCAGAGACCACACTAAGGTCAAAGGAGTGCGTGAGGCTTCTACACGTGTCAGCCTTGTACCACCACGCTGGCACGCGTGTCACCGCCTGGAATGCCAGCTCTTGGCTTTTGCTTGAGCCTGGCCATAATCACTGAACCACCTTCAGGGCCGTCTTCAATGTCATGCTAAGGAATCCAAAAGCAAAGCTTCCAAGACTCCCTAGGCAGAGCATATGTGGGAGCAGCGAGAATGCAAAGGCAGGGAGTGGCTGTAGACATGCATTGCTCCTCTGTAGAACGGGAAGAGTTCCCGAGCTTAATGCAATTTTTAAGTGCACACATTCTGTTTTAATTCTAGTTCATTCTCTAAGAAGTTTACGCATCTAGCATTGAATCCTATTTAAAAGTCCGTTAGACTAAAATAAAACATTCAAAGAATCGTTTTGGTGAGAGAAGAATATTGTAGGCACAGCGAGCAGGTCACAAATCATTCCACTGAAAACTACACTGTGTATAAAGGAACTGCAAACTAAACCAAGAGTGGTTCGGGGCTTGGTTTTATTTACAAGTCTTTATTTGGTTTTAAAAGCTTAATTTACTTTGTGAGTGTGAGTTCTTTGCCCGCATGTATGTCTGTGCACCACATGACTGGTCCTACCTCAGATCCCCTAGAACTGGAGTTGTGGATAGCTGTAAGCCACCACAGGGGTCCTGGGATTCAAACCTGGGGCCTTCCAAAGAGCAGCCAATGTTCTTAACCCAGAGCCTTCTCTCCTGAGAACTTCATACATGAGCACTATATCTATTTCTTTCCCGCCCCTTCCCTTCCTCTCACACCCCTCCTGTCCCCTGCTTCCCTTATTTAATTATCATTGTCCTATGTATATACATATTGAAGGAAGGCTGGGGACTGAACCGGATGAGGAAATCAGGTGTGGGACCCTTTAAGAGGGCCTGCTTCTTGCTCCAGAGAAGGAAGTCCACTCAAGTGAGGACTCAAGCCACTCAGGGAGGAGAGGGGGTGCAGAAGGGAGAACACTAAGAAACTTATAAAAAGGGCGACCCAGAATCCCTGAGTGACCGCTCACCTATGGGACCCCTTTAGCCCCCTTGGTGTGAGTTTTTGGTTCTAATAAAGTTGGTACTTTGTCCTTTCTCTCTCTGTGTGCTCACAATTCGTTCTCTGCACCTGCAGTGCCGAGCTCTCTACCTACCACGCTTACGATCCGGGCTCAAGCCAAGTTATCCACATCAGCAGCCTTCTAACTCCCAAGTGTTATTTTCCAGGCATCTGCCAAGTGGTTTCTCCTTTTCGTGATTCAGTCTTCTACCTTTCCCAGAATTCCAATGCTCTGGCTGTCCCAAGGAAGAGAGCCTGCAGATTGCCTAGATGACCAGATAACTGTGCCTCACCCCAATACTCGTGTGTGTGTGTGTACATATATATAATATATATGCGTAATATATGTGCATATATATGGGTAATATATATGCATATATATGCGTGTTTATACGTCTAGCATTTCTTATACAAATGTTTCTTATATAAACATAGGTATCCAATCCGAAGGCTGATCACTTGGGATTGGACATCTATGCAGGAGTTCACCCATGGAAGAAACTGATTCTCTTAGCAGACAATGACCACTTAGAGCTCTTCATCTAGGGGTGAAACCATGTGGGATTTTCCCCATCCACACTGGCATGTCAGCTAATAGTGGCATTATAGATTTGTTCAGGCAACCATACCGTAGTTACTTCATGGGTGTGTTCTCCCTGTCATACCTAAGGGTCATTATTTAATGGCCTCTGACTCTTACAATCCTTCTTCATGCCTTCCCCTGAGCTTTGGAGGGAGGGGGGCTACACTGCAGATGTATCTGTTAGGGTACCCCAGTCACTCATTCTCTGCACTTTGGTCAGCTGTGATTTCTCTAACAGCCTCCATCTGTTGTAGAAAGAAGCTTCTTGGATGAGGCACGAGCGCTACCGTTATCTGCGGCTGTAAGGATAACCATTTAAAATGCAGCTAGATAATGGCGGTAGCAGGCTCTTCTCTCAGGTCTATGACCTCTCCAGTCATGATGTAGCTGACTAGGTTTACAGTACCAAGCATGAATCCCTCCTGCTAACAGGCCATAAGTCCAACCAGACGACTGTTTGTTGGTAATGCCCAAGATAAAAATGTCACTATTGCACTGCTGGAGATAGCTTGCCAGGCTGGCGAGTACTGTTGTAGCCTTTACAGCTGGCCAGAACTACCGACTGCATTCCTCCCTTGAGAGCTTGCACAGTGTCTCCTACTAGGTCAGTTCCAGCTCTATTCCTCCATGCCCTGTGTCTGAAGTATGTGCTATGTGCATCTTCAGCAATAGGGTCTTGCAAATAGGTCCTTCAAATTCTGGAAGGATATCAAGGAAAATGGCAATAAGCCATATTGTTTTTTAGGAATCTCTTGCATTGCTCTGACCTACATCTTGTTGGAGGTTTCCCATCCTGGCACTGGGATTTGTGTTCTAAGCATGTCTCTTGAGGGTAGCATGCACACACATACATACATACACATATGCTAACATACATATATTTTTAACTAAACTTATATAGTAACATGTTGCCCTTTTTCAAACACCTTTAGTATTATTTATCCCTGCTTCTTCACTCTCCCCCTGCACCCACAGTTAAATTCCCTGAGCACATTTTTTCCCATTGCTGCTTTATAGCCCTCCTTTCTAGATGCCTTTTCCTCCTTCTCCATCCTGCCACAGTCCCTTTCTTGTGGGTTCTTCAGATACTTCAGATTGCATACGCGAATCTAAAGCTAGTGTCTATGAAGAAGAGAGAGCGTGTGGTGCTTCTCTTCCCACATCTGGCTGGCCTCACTCAGCACACCTTACTGCACATCTCCAAAAGTAACTACTATTTACAGAGCATTTCTCTTATGCTAGGTCCAGCAGCAAAGCAAGCTCTTCACAAAGAACGTCAACCCTTCGAATCCTTGAATCCTCATAATCTTTACACCATACAGGTAGGGACTCAGACATTCAGTCTCCCTGAGGGTTAAATTTTTTTCCAAGCTCAACATTTAGCCAAGTGGGAAAAAAAACAAAGACATAAGAATCCAGGACGGTCAAACTCTCAGCTCCTGGCTGGCACAGGTCTCTGGAGGCTCCACGGCCTCACAGTACTGTTAATTCCTCTGATGATCAGCCTGGCAGTATTAATTCCATCCTTTGATGGTCACATAGCACTGTGAGCAATGATGCGAAAATGTATCACACACACACCCAGACACATAAGGCTCTAACCATGCAAAACCAATGCTATCTATTGCTTAAAAGGCTGGCCATCTGGAAAAACTGAAGCTGGTCTAGATTTATGCTGATCAGTGCAACTGGCACAAACTCATGTGACGCCTCAAGCCCAGAACTGGTCATGAAAATCATTTCTGCAATGTGAGGATAAGTGCTTACGCAGCCTGTCCCACCGGCCGGCTCGTTCACACCTTTTATAGATGTCCCAATCGGGGAGCGACAGGAAACAGAT